AGTAGTAGTCATACAAGTAACAATAACAGTAGTAGAAGGTATTAAACACTAGTCACTTAAACAAGAAAGACATAATTTAGACACTTTTCACTTAAGGAAGGGAACAAAAGTCTTAATGAGGGATGTCGACACTTTGTCTAATTACTATTAATATGGTAATTAGACTGTCTAATTACCATGGTAATGGAATTCATCAGCTGGATAACACCTTTAAATTGTTCTCAAATTGATTGTCCTTGTTTCCAGACATGCGCTGGACTGTTGTCTTCCAGACATGTGCAGGACTGTTGAATTCCAGACATGTGCTGGACTGTTGTCTTCCAGACATGTGCAGGACTGTTGAATTCCAGACATGTGCTGGACTGTTGTCTTCCAGAGATGTGCTGGACTGTTGTCTTCCAGACATGTGCTGGACTGTTGAATTCCAGACATGTGCTGGACTGTTGCCTTCCAGACATGTGCTGGACTGTTGTCTTCCAAAGATGTGCTGGACTGTTGTCTTCCAGACATGTGCTCGACTGTTGTCTTCCAGACATGTGCTGAACTATTGTCTTCCAGAGATGTGCTGGAAGGTCATGTCTTCTAGAGCTGTCTAGGAAGTTCATGCCTTCCACAGCTGTCTTGCAGAGTTGTCTAGGAAGGTCATACCTTCCAGAGCTGTCTAAGAAGGTCATGTCTTCCAGAGCTGTCTAAGAAGGTTATGTCTTCTAGAGCTGTCTAGGAAGGTCATGTCTTCCAGAGCTGTCTAGGTAGGTTATGTCTCAGAGCGTTAAAAAGGTCATGCCTTCCAGAGCTGTCAGGAAGGTCATTCCCCAAAAGTGTCTAGGGGGGAAAATATCCAAAGCTTTTTGGAAGGTCATGTTTCCGAGTGTTGGAAGGTATGTCCCAAGGTCTAAAGGTCATTTTCCCCCAAGCGTCTAAAAGGTTTTATGTTTTCCCCAAGCGCCTGGGAAGGTCATGTCTTCCAGAGCGTCAAGGAAGTTTATGTTTTCCCAGGCGTCTGGGAAGGATGTCTTCCAGAGCTGTCTAGGAAGGTTGTCTTCCAGAGCTGTCTAAGAAGGTCTGTTTTCCAGACTAAAAAGGGTTTTATTCCCTGGGTCTAAAAGGGTCAATTCCGAGCTTTTTTAGAAGGTCAAAAATTCCCAGAGCTGTCTAAAAGGTATGTCTTCCAGAGTGTCTAAGAAGGTCATGTTTTCCCAGAGTGTCTAAAAAGGCATGTTTTCCCAAGTGTCAAAAGGGTATGCTTCCAGAGCTGTTAAAAAGGGGTCATGTCTTCCAGACTTTTAAAGAAGGATTTCCAGGCTGTCTAAAGAAGGTCATGCCCTCCAGAGCTGTCTAAAAGGTTTATGTCTTCCCAGCTGTCTAAGGCATGTTTTCCAAAGCTGTCTAAGAGGTCATGTTTTCCCAAAGGCTGTCTAAGAAGGTCATGTTTTCCGAGTTTGTCAAAAAAGTTAGTCTTCCAGAGCTGTCAAAGAAGGTCATGTCTTCCGAGCGTTAAAAGGTTTATGTTTTCCAGAGCTGTCTAAAAAGGTCATGTCTTCCGGGTTTTGAAAGGTCAATTTCCCCGGGCTGTCTAGGGTCGTTTCCAGAGCTGTCAAAAAAGTCATTTTCTTCCAGAGCTGTTAGAAGGGTTTGTCTTCCAGAGCTTCTAAAAAGGTCATGTTTCCAGAGTGTCTAGAAGGTCATGTCTTCCAAACTGTCAAGGAAGTTATTTTCCAGACCCTGTCTAGGAAAGGGTCATGCTTGAGCTGTCTAGGAAGGCCATGCTTCCGAGCTGTCTAAGAATCTGTCTTCCAAGCTGTCAAGAAGGGTATGTTTCCAGAGCTGCAAAGAAGTCTGTCTTCCAGAGCTGTTAAAAAAAGTCATGCTTCCAGAGCTGTCTAAAAGTAAAGTCTTCCGGGGCTGTCAAAAAAAGCATGCTTCCAGGCTGTCTAAGAAGGTATTTTTTTCCAGAGCTGTCTGAAGGTCATGTCTTCCAGAGCTTCTAGGAAGGTCATGTCTTCCGAGCTGTCTGGGAAAGTCTGTTTTCCCGGAGCGTCAAAGGAAAGGTCTGTCTTCCGAAGATGTTAAGAAGGTCATGTCTTCCGAGCTGCAAAGAAAGTCATGTCTTCCAGAGCTTCTAAGAAAGTATGTCTTCCAGAGCTTTTAAAAAGGGAAGGTCAGTTTTCCGAGTGTTGGAAAGGTCTTTCCTTCCAGAGCTGTTGGGAAGGGTATGTTTTCGGAGCGGGCCCAGAATTTTGTTCCGAGTGTCTAAGAAGGTCATGTTTTCCCCAGGCTGTCGGGAAAGTTATTCTTCCAGATGTTAGGAAGGTCATGTTTCCGGGCTGTCAAAGAGGTATGTTTCCGAGCTGTCAAAAAAGTCATGTCTTCCAGAGCTGTCTAAGAAGGTCATGTCTTCCAGAGCTGTCTAAGGAGGTCATGTCTTCCAGAGCTGTCTAGGAAGGTCATGTCTTCCAGAGCTGTCTAGGAAGGTCATGTTTTCCCGGACTGTCTAGGAAGG